ACCGATATGGGGTGGCATTGAAAGTAGGGTCTAAGCTTTCGTGAAGCTGTGACCAATGCCAAGGCCAATTTTTCGAGGTGGGGGGTACCTTGTTTCGGCGTCGACCAGGGTTTTGCTATTGTAATAAATTGCAGATTACCTTTGTTTTTACAGACCAGTATTGCACTTACTACAACCTCTGATACAGCCAAGTATATCAGGAGGCGTAGGCCGGGTTCTGCTTTGGCGAGTAGCGGGGGCGAGGTCAAGTATTCCTTTAGTCCTCTTAAGGCCTCGATGCATTCTGAATTCCACTGGAGCCCGTTGTTCTTTTTAAGCATGTTGAAGAATTTGTGGCATCTGTCGAAGGATCGTGAAATGAACCTCGACAGGGCAGCTATACGGCCTGTCAATTTTTGTACCTGTTTCTTGCTGGTCAATACTTCGGGTATCCCCTCGATGTCTTTGATATGGTTGGGGTTGACCTCGATGCCTCTTTGTGACACTAGAAAGCCGAGGAACTTGCCCGAAGTTACGCTGAAGGCACACTTTTCGAGGTTCAGCTTCATACCGTATTGCCTTAGTATACCGAAGGATTCCTTCAGGTGGTTGATGTGGTCTTCGTTCCTTTTTTATTTGACCAACATATCGTCTATGTAAACTTTCATTATTTTGCCGAGTTGGTCCTTGAACATCTTGGTGACCAGCCTTTGATAAGTCGCCCCTGCGTTCTTTAGCTCGAAATGGCATGACTCTGTAACAGTACGTTCCCTGATAGGTGATAAAAGTAGTCTTTTCCTGGTCTTCCTCTTCCATGAGGATTTGGTTGTAACCTGAGTAGGCGTCCAAGAGGATTAACAACTCGTGCCCTGCCGTTGCGTCGATGAGTTGGTCGATGTGAGGCAACAGAAAGGAGTCTTTCGGGCAGGCCTTATTTAGGTCCGTGAAATCCATGCACATTCGCCATTTCCCGTCTTTCTTTTTCACCATGACTACGTTGGCGACCCATTGGGGGTATCCGATTCTCGGATGGAGCCGTTAGCGAGTAGTTTATCCACCTTATCACCGATGGCCTCGTTGATTTTGGCGTTGAATTTTCTTCTTACTTGTCGTACTGGAGGGTAGAGTGGATCGACGTTCAACTTGTGCATGGCAACGTCTTTCGGGATACCCGGCATATCTGCATGGGAGAAAGCAAAAAGATCGGCGTTGTTAGTTAGAAACTTATGAAATTTACCTGGTTCTGAGAGTTTATGGCCTATGTAAGCCCTTTTGCTGTTATCGTTGTTGTCTAGTTAGACGGGGTCGAGGTCTTCTACTGTTGACCCTGCAACTTCCACGACGTCGAGGTCCTTGATGACGTCTTTTTGTTCGTTGAGTTCGGACCCCGACTTTGGTAATTTCTATGCTTCTAAGTCTGTTCCCTTTAGCTGTTGCGTGTATGTACAATCTTGGGCGATGCGATAGCATTCTTAGGCTGTGCGATGTTCGCCTCGGATGCTGAATATCCCCCACGGAGTAGGGAACTTGATTACCTGATACAGGCTGGATGGGATGGCCCTCATGGCGTGTATCCATGGTCGTCATATGATAGCGTATAAGCTGTGTCCTGGTTCATGACATGGAACGTTGTTTCTAGGGTGACGCCCCCGGCCAGAACGGGCAGCGTTATCTCTCCTGAGGTTCGCTCGACTGCATTATTAAAACCTGTTAGTGTTATGCATCGTGGTACTATCTTGTCCTCGAGTCTCATTTGTGTGAGAACTCGAGGGTGAATAATACATGCGCCGCTTCCGTCGTCTACCATTATTCTTTTTACATCAGTATCTGAAATACGTAAAGTAATGACTAGAGCATCGAAGTGAGGAAAGGTCAAACCGTGGGTATCTGACTTATCGAAGATGATACTATCTTCGAGGTCAGTAATGACTAGAGCATCGAAGTGAGGAAAGGTCAAACCGTGGGTATCTGACTTATCGAAGATGACACTATCTTCGAGGTCATCATACCGCTCGTGGGTGATCGACCGCTTCAGTTTATGTGTGGTGGTAAACTTCACGTGGTTGATTGCTGCTTCATCACTCCTGCCTATATCTGGATGGTGTGGGCGGGGGAGGGTGGTTTTGGAGGGCCTTAGTGTTGTTCTCGTCCGCGACCGAAGTTAGCTCTTCCTCGGTCGCTCATCAGCTCCCTTAGGTGCCCTGTGAAGCATGTTCACTACTTCTTGCCGTAGGGCTATGCAGTCCTCGGTTTTGTGACCCCGCTCCTGATGAAATTCACAGAGGACGTTCGACTTTCGAGTACTTGGGTCGGACTTCATCTTTTGTGGCCACTTCACCTTCGTGCCGAGCTTCTCTAGTGCGTACACTATTTATGAAGGGGAAACACAAAATTTGTGATTAGATAAGAGTGGGGGCATACCTCTTTCGTTTCAATGAGTCCCTGTATGCGGCCTGGACGGCCCTTCCGCATGGAGAGGAGATGGTGGGATGGCTGTTCTGACATAGGGTTGATCATGTCTCTATTGAGGCGTGGACCTGACTGGTCTCTTCGACCGTCATTACGACGGTCTTTCCTCGACTCTGTTTGGATCGAAGTTAACCGTTGGGTTGGACCGTTAAGGTCATCCTCGTCTGCTCTCACCTCGGTGAAGTAGGCGTTGTGAATTTCTTCTCAAGTAGTGGGAGGGTATTTCATGAGCCTGCTTAATAACCTTCTGGTCGCTCTCGACCCATTCCTGTTCAACCCATTTTGGAAAGTTGCCACCGCCATCCCTTCTGATATATTTTAAGCTCATTCTTATTCTATTAAACCAAGCTAGGAAACCCCGGAGTCCCTCGCTAGGCGATTGCCTAACGAATATATCATTCACCCTGGCCTCCGCCTTCTTAGCCCCAACGTGGGCGGTGATGAAATTGTCGGCCATTTCTTCGAACGTTGTTATTGATTGTGCCGGTAATTGTGAGTACCATGTTAAGGCTCCCCCTGTTAGGGTTTCGCCGAATTTCTTCAGCAACACTGATGGTTCCTGCTCTTTTGAGAGGTCGTTGCCCTTTACTGTTGTGACGTAATGAATGATGTGATCTTCGGGATCTGTTGTGACGTCGTATATCTTCAAATATGGTGGCATCTTGAAGGTCTTGGGTATGGCATATGGGGCTGCCTCCTCGCTATACGGTTGTTCGATGAATCAGCTGACGTCCCATTTTGGTAGCAGTTTCGGGGCGCCCGGTATCTTATCAACCCTTTCTTGATGCTCCCTCATTTGGTCGCGGAGTGCTTTATTCTCGTTCTCCATTTCTTTCATTTTCTTTAGAATGGCCGCAAGTGCGTCTTTACCCGCATCAACAGCGATGTGAGTGTTACTTGTTGGGGGAGCAGGTTGCTCGTCGGCGGTTGTTGTGGTATCCGCTCGTGCGGCGTTTCTGTTCGCCCTTTGAACGGGTTTGTCGAGTATGTCATTTAGAGTTACTTGTCAACCATTCCTCTAGTAATTTTTTCACTGCGGGTGGTGCTTCCTCAGCTGTGGACGTGGAAGCTCCCCTTTCGCGTGAAGCGGTCACACTTCCATGGGGGAGGGGGGGTCACTTCGCCTGGGTGTAGTACTGGGCGTCACATTCTCCTCATTTTCTCTGTCACCCTCGTTGATGGTGTTCATGAGGTTGGCGGTGACGCCCACCACTGCTTTCTGTCTTTCATCTCTTTTTCCTGCCATTGTTAGTTCGTACAAACGGGAAAAAGATGATTGTTGTCGTTTTTTCATATCTAGAAGGAACTAAAACTTTAACTAGAACCTCCCCACAGACGGCGCCAAATTGTTTAACCAAAAAGTGTTAAGCTCTTTGTTAAACTAATTAATGAGAAAATAGAGGGTGAATCCTAATTAAGTATAATAAATTCCAGATCTAAGATTGAGGGAGATCAGTGGGATTAGACCGTGATCAAGAGCAATAAATACCAAGTATATGTTTAATGATTGTCAATGAATGTAGTGACAGAAGCATGCAATAAATGTAGATAATGGCAATAAATGTAATGAGGAATTTATCACTCAAATATTAAATGATTTGGGTGATTCTTCTTCCTGAAAACAACGTGTAATAATGAAAAGTATTGATGGATAAGGGATCTTTGGATCTTGTAAAAAAGAATGAACAAGACAAGCTGTTGAATATTCTTTATTGTCAACCCTTTACAATATGCTCTTATCAAAAAGTGAAGATCCCCCTTTGTTCTTTATCTCTTCCTATTTATAAGGGATATTTCTAAGAAACCCTAAAAAATACAACATAAGGAATATCCAATGAAATATTCCTTATGTCTATTGCTAAACTATCCTACCGTTGCTTCCTTGCTCCATTTACTTGACCTCGGCAATAATCCTTCTTAAGGCGACTACCGTGGTCGACTCAGTCCTCGACCCTAGTTATTTACAATTATCATGTCATCCAAATTTAGACCAATACAGAAGATACACACCAGTAGATCTCCGGTGAGGCATGATTTGTTTTCCCAATGAGAAGCCGTGAAAGAATGGGGAATACCGGAGACGACGTTCTGCAGATTTTATGTACTCCTATTAAAATAAGGTTCCTTCCGATGTACGAGTACTTATTTATTAAAATAAAATAGGGTCCGCATTTTTTTCTTTTTCTTTTCTTTGGTCCGACACGGTTTCAATAACCGATTAATTTTAGTACTCTCTCTCTTCTTCCTAACATTTATTAGTTCAACTTGATTGTTTGATTTTTTTAAATCTAAACTTGAAGAATATTGGACCATGTTTGCATTTTATGAAGGCCAAATATCTAGACGGCCCTTTAAATTTGGTTCAATTTTCCATTTTGACACCTTAAATCTAAGTATGCCTATTTTTTTTTATAAAATTTAATCTTTATTTCTGGGGAAAAAACTCAATACATGCACTAATCTTTACAAAAAACCCTCTCTATATGGACGGACATACAGCCCCATCCTATTTCACTGCTTCCCTAAACAACTATCTACACATCAAGCTCAGACTACGGATAGAAATTGAGTGCTTGTAGTTTCTTCTCCAATTTTAACCACTTTGAACATCTGCAATGTATGTCTTGAACGATCATTCTCACTAATTCTTCAGCTTTCCTTTTCTTCTTTCTGAAAATTCTCCAGTTCCTCTCTTGCCATAGATAATATACAGCTCCAGCTAGGATCATTCTGTAGATGGTTGCATCTGCTTTCCTCCCTGTTGCATATGTACTGGCCCATTTTATTTCTTCCGACCATATCCTGGCTCTTCTTCCTATTCCTGCCCAGTTCAGTACCTTCTCCCACACACTGCTTGAATACTTGCATGTAAAGAACAGGTGGTCGTGGCTTTCATCAGCTGCTTCACATAAGACACATTCTGCACTTGTGATACTCCCCCATTTCATTAATCTGTCCTTTGTGTATAACCTGTTTTGGACAGCTATGTACATAATGAACATCCATCTTGGACTACTACAATTGTTACAAATTAATCTCCTCCAATTAACCTTTATGAATTCACCCCTCATCTTGTTATATACATCTCTTATTGAGTAGTCCTTCCCAGACATTACTTCTTCAACATTGATTCTTGCTTCTATCAGATACTTCCCAGCTTTTAGAATCTTTTGAGTTGTCCATGCTGCTTGATTGGCCTTCACATTCCATGTTTTCTCCTTCTTTATATAATAGATATGCATCCACTTGATCCATAATCTGTCCTTCTTATTGCATAGGTTCCACATCTGCTTCAGGATTGCTGCTTTGTTCCAAGTGACTATGTCTGTAATGTTCAAGCCTCCTGCTGTTTTTGGCCAATAAAGTTGTGTCCATGCAACCAAAGCCTTCTTGCTCCCCTCTACCTCCCATGTCCATAAGAACTTTTTGCAAATGCTTTCAATCTTCATTAGGATCTTCTTTGGCAAAGGAAACACTTGCGTCCAAAATGATTGTATAGATAGTAACACACTTTTAATCATTTGTAGTCTACCTGCATAGGATAGAAATCTTGTTGTCCAGCTTTGCACTTTAGCTAGAATTCTGTCCAGTAAAGGTTGACATTGGTTAACTGACAGTCTTTTAGCACTCAGTGGTACTCCTAAGTACCTGAAGGGTAATTCACCCAGGGAGAATCCCAAGCTTGCCAATATTTGCTGCTGCACATGTTCTGGCACACCTCCAAAATAGATGCAACTTTTCCCTTGGTTTGCAACTAATCCTGATGCTGAGGAAAACTGTTGAAAACACTCATTTAACATCTGTGCTGACTTGAGATCTCCTCTACAAAATAGTAGAAGATCATCTGCAAAACTGAGCTGCAGGATATTGAGTTTCTCACATTTCGGATGGAAGTTGAAGTCTGGTGTGTGCTGCAAGTTCTTCAATAGTCTTGTCAGATACTCCATAGCTAAAACAAACAGGTAAGGGGATATAGGATCCCCTTATCTCACCCCACGCTTGGAATCAAATGGAGTAGTTGGCTTACCATTTATCACAATTGAATAGGAGACTGTAGACACACAAGCCATTATCCATTTTATAAATTGGTCTGGTATGTTCATTGCTGCCAGTACTTGTTCTAAGAAGACCCACTCCAATGAATCATATGCCTTTTGCACATCTATCTTGATCATACACCTTGGGGATATACCTTTCCGACCATAACCTTTCACCAATTCATGTCCTAGGAAGATGTTGTCATTTAAGATTCTCCCTGGTACAAAGGCTGCTTGACTTTCATCCACCAGGAAATCTATCACCTTGTGCAGTCTACTAGTAATCATCCTAGATATAATCTTATACAGAACATTACAGCAAGATATGGGTCTATACTGTTTGATGAATTCTGGGTTTTTAACTTTTGGGATAAGAGTGACAAGGGTGGTATTGAGTGGTTTATGCATTTTACTGGTTTTGAAGAATTCCAATACAACTTCTGTGATCTCATGCCCAATTACCTTCCAAGCCTTCTTGAAAAAATAGGCATTGAGCCCATCATCCCCTGGTGCGTTTGAGTTATCAATCCCCTTCAGAGCTTCATAGACATCCTCCCTTGTAAATTGCTTTATTAGTTCAAGCTGGTGTTTCCTTGTAAGTACAGGTCCTCCCTTCATAGTAGTGATGTTAATGGCAGGTAGACTTCTAGTTGATTCCCCCAAAAGCCTCTTATAAAACCCAATGACTTCCTGTTCCACTCCATCTTCATTAGTTATCCAGTTTCCTCCCTCATCTTTTATCATTTTGATGTGATTTTGAGCTGCTCTTCCCTTCATATTTGCAAAGAAGAATGTTGTATTTGAATCCCCTAATTGGAGCCATTGTACCCTTGATTTTTGCTTATATATCCCTTCCTCTATCATACTCCATTTTTTCAGTTCTTCTCTAGCTTCCTTCTCTGCTTCAAACATATCCCTGCTCTGATTACTCTGCCTCATTTGAGCTTGCACATTTGCCAGATCTTCTCTCTTCTGTTGAACCTTCTTTGTTATCCCTGTATATTCCTGCCTATTTAAGTTCTTCAGGCCATGTTTTATCTTCTTTAAATTCTGCATTATACCTTCCATCTTATTGCCCTTATATCTCCATCCATTCTGCACTACTGATTCAAACTCTGCATGCTCAGCTAGACAGTTATAGAATTTGAATGGTCTTCTTCTGCAGTCAATTTCCTGTCCCAAGTCAATACTCAAAGGTGAGTGGTCTGAAAATTGTGGATCTAATACTTGCACTTGCACTGGTGCCTTTTCTAGCATCCATTTTGCATTCACTATCCCCTATCTATTCTACTATATACATGGTTGTTTGTCCATATAAACCCCCTTCCTACTGTCACTAGTTCTGTCATTTGACATTCCATCATAAATTCTCGGAAGTCCTTTATTTCATTCACCTGTACTTCGGTACCATTCATTCTATCTTCCATATCCTTAACTGCATTGAAGTCACCCATGATTAGCCAAGGTATTGTCATTTGTTCTTCCAGCTCTCTCAAGCTGTTCCACAGGTCCCTTCTATTAGTTATTGTGTGTAGTCCATAAACAGCTGTAAAAGCAAACTGGACAGAGTCACTTCTATTCTTCACTATTCCATGTATGAATTGTTGGTGCACTTTCAGCTGTGAGAACATTATTTTGTTAGGATTCCACATCAACCACAGTCTACTTTTACCATTCACTGAGCTATTTGCATACCATTTCCATCCAGCAGCTACTTTTGTAATGATTTTCTCAATCGAGTCATCTTTTATTCTGTGCTCTATTACTGCAATCATATTCACTTTATTCACCTTTATAAACTCCTTCATCTCTTTTTGTTTATACACTTTGTTGAAGCCCCTAACGTTCCATGTGACTATCTTCATGCCTATTAAACACTAAAAACTTACTCAATAAACAAACAAATGTGTAAAGCTCAAACACCGATTGCGTGGAAATGTAACTAATGAAAAAAGATGCCTGACCATTAAAACAAGCCACACCAGTTAAAAAAAACAAAAAAAGAAGTCATGCTGTTATTGTTTTTTTTTTTTTTTTTTTTGTGTGTAAAAAAGCAACCTGGCCGTTGGACCCTTGCTCATTGCCGATTATCTTCTTCTTTAATTCACATGTGTCGTTGCCTCGTTGGTCATCCTCTTTCCCCTTCACTCGTTCTTCTTCTGCTTTCGTTCTGAGCCCCTTCACTCGTCGGGGATAAAATCTAAAACTATAATCTATACAAATATCAGGACCATATTCTTTGTACACTTATACACATATTCTTTTAAACGTAATTTTGAATTTATAGGTGTGTATGGTATAAAGGAAAATATTTTCTGTGAAAATTTTTTTCCAAGATAATGTTTTCTTGGAAAACAAGTAGTAATCTTATTCATTTTTCGGTGTTTGGTACGCAAATTAAGGAAAATGGCTTCTCAAGAATATTCATAAATAATTTAGATATAATAAACATGAAGCCATAAACTTTCGAACCAACAACTTTCCGAACCCACAAATTTCATAAACTTTCGAACCGCTAAACTTTCAAAACAGCGAAATTTCGAACCCGTAAACTTTATAATTTCTAAAC